TCCTTCTGCCTGGGGTAATCTGGTTGCCTGAAGCTGGCGGCTGCCGGGTCTGGGGAGGGAGGGGAGAGGCCGAGCTTCTTGCTCTGAATTTCTGATGCACTATCAAGCACAGATGGTTTTCTCACTTCTCAATTCTCCTTTATGAAGTGTATTTTCTCTGAGGCGAACACCACTTTCTCTGGAGAACTATTAATTCCCAAGGAGTAAGCCATTGAAGCCTGCATGGGAACACCCCCTCATTTGCAATTTGGCAAAAGAGTCTCCCACAAAGTAGAAGAAGGCTTGATTCAGGGCTTAAAGGAAACAATGGAGTCCATTTAACAAAGCCAACATTTAATGAACTCAAAACAGTGTCCTTAAAAAAAATAAGTTAATAAAGTAGCCTTTTAAACTTTACGCATGCTTATTAGCTTTATTTCTAAAGTCCCATCTGTTATCCTAGTAACAGTTTCCTGGTTTATTTATCATCATGATTCATCACCTATATGATTTCTGAGCGATGAATGAAAATGTTGATTGGAATTTTGCAAATGGCAATCCTTTGGTGTCCGGGTCAGCTTTCACAAATCATGCAAGACCTTCAAATAGAGTTCTATTGCCTGGCAATTCGCAAAAGAAAGACAAAGGAGAGACAAGCTCACCTTTCAGATGAGTCTGCCCTAAAACCCCCTTTACTGGATTCTTTTAAAAATCCTGGAAGTGTTCAAATCTTCCTATCAGTTTTGTTCTTGTGTTTGATAGAGAAATAGCAATGAGTCTCAGTGGGAGACTTTGCTTTGGGATCCATCCCCCAGTGGCATCCCTCTGCCGCCAGCGTCCTCTCCAGAAGGGAGAAGGGTGTTGGAAAAAGCAGAGAGGGGATGGGGTGGGGTGGCAGAACAGTGGGTAATTACCACGAAAAAATAGGAGCTTCCTACCTTTTATCAGAGCAAGTATCAAATACTGTTCTGCCCAAGTACATTGTGTCCAGTTCTGTTTCTTATGCAAATTCAACATCTAGGGAGCAGCCTGCCACAAAAGTTGACTCCGCTTCCCCAACTTCATTCAACTTGCCCTTGAAAGGAGTATCATATCCCTGATTGTTAGGCAGGCCCCCACATCCAAGAAACTGTAGGCGAGATCTTATCATTATCAGGCTTTACTGGAAATCAAAAGCACCTGCTCTTTGTGAAAGTGGGCTTCTAAAGAGAGATTTATTCCCATTAGAAAATGCCCAGAGTTCATACGGGAACACTACTGACACGTTCTCAGTCTGAGGATACCAGTCTCAGGTGAATAAACTTAATGGCAGTAAATCTTTACTGAGCACTTACTGCGTACCAGGCCTTGGGCTAAGCAATTTACATGTATCATTTCATTAGGCCCTTGCAACAGCCATTGGGGATAGGGAGCCCCGTTCTACAGCTTTAGAAACTAAAGGCTTAGAGAGATCACGCTATTTGCCTAAGAGTACACAGCTGGAAATGTGACAGAGCCACAGTCTCTGATTCAGAACCTGTGCTCTTTGCTACTTATGACATAATTCATCCTTGATGGCAATAATATATACACTAGCCAGTGATGACCCACTCCTAACACTCCCCTCTTTGGATTTCCCAAGAAGAACGAAGCATAAATCAAGTCTTCCCTGATGCCCTGACCCTTATAGAGGAAAATAAACTGTGTCTTTATAAAACAATTTATATCTTATTTAATACTCTAACACTATGTCATAGATGCCATCATATCCTTTTAGGATAAGAGGAAATTAAGGTTCATGGAAGCTAAGTAACTTGCCCAAGAACCCACAGCTAGTAAGTGCTAGGGGTGGTCTTCTGATCTCAGGCCAACAGCAGGGTCTGTCTGCCCAAACTGACCCTACACTTCCTCACAGCATCTTGTAGGTGTTTATCAAACATTTCCACTGGGAGACAAGAAAGGTTTTGATTTCCACTGCTTCACTCTCCTTGAGAGAACTCTGCCCTTCCAGTTCAGAGACTAGATGATCCTGTTGACCTGCTTGGGCCAAAGTTAGTTGAAAAGAAGTCCATACCTGAAGATGTGTGAAAAAAATCTTCTTGGACAATAGCCAAACTATGGAAAGAACCTAGATGTCCATCAACAGATGAATGGATAAAGAAGATATGGTATATATATATATATATATATATATATATATATACACACATATACACACACACACACACACACACACACACACACACACAATGGAATACTATGCAGCCATCAAAAGAAATGAAATCTTGCCATTTGCAATGATGTGGATGGAACTAGAGGGTATTATGCTGAGCGAAATAAGTCAATCAGAGAAAGACAATTATCATATGATCTCCCTGATATGAGGAATTTGAGAGGCAGAATGAGGGGCTTGGGGGATAGGGAAGGAAAAAATGAAACAAGATGGGATTGGGAGGGATACAAACCATAAAAGACTCTTATTCTTACAAAACAAACTGAGGGTTGCTGGAGGGTGGGGGGTAGGGAGAGGGTGGTTGGGTTATGGACATTGGGGAGGGTATGTGCTATGGTGAGTGCTGTGAAGTATGTAAACCTCTTGATTCACAGACCTGTACCTCTGGGGCTAATAATACATTATATGTCAATAAAAATAATTAATAAAAAATGCAATTCCTTTTAAAAAAATCTTGGAATAGAAACAAGAATCCCAACCTATAAAAAATAACAACAGTGGTTATCAGTGATGAACAATCATTATGTCAAATCAGAGGGCCATTCTCTAGAGGCTAGGCTGCTTTGGCCCTCTGTGACCTGGCTTCCTTTTTCATTCCTTTGTCAAGCATCTTAATTTTTCCCTTTCCCCTCCTCTCTATCCCATATTCCATCACTCTGTGCCTCCCCCACCCACCCACCCAGTTCCTTGACACCATTGACTTGCCCATGTCTTCCCAGGGCACAGTATACTATTGGAGCTCAATAGATGTTTAGGAAAAAGGACAAAGAAAGAAACACAGAGTTAGTGCTAAGCCCTAGGAAAGAGAAACTCAGAGAATTCACACATACTTGTTAGAGTCAAGTGCCTTTTTTGTGTTCAGAAAGTAATGCCTATAATGAACTGTGAAGATCAATATAAACAAGCCACAAAGAATTTGATCCAAGTGTCTATATAAAAAAATTAATATGTTCTATCCCCTCCCTTCTTCAGTCCATTTAGTCTTTATCCATAAAATACATGCATGTCCATTATACATGCATGTCTGTTGTACAATATGCATGTCTTTATCTATAAAATACATACGTGTCCTTTATACAATATAGATATGTCTCCTGTTAAATGAATCTATGAGGAAACACGTGGTTCTTCTCTGTGAGGGGGGAAAAACACTCAAGGACATACACACTTGCATGAAACTGTTGGTTGTCTTTTCATGTACTCTGTTATTTATTGACTACTTCATAGCTTGTAAGAGCCTTCATTTCATTGCTATTCTACTCTGTAAGGTAAGCCCAGGGTTATGCCTTCATTTAGAGAGAAGGAAACTGAGTCATGGAAATTTTTAAGGACTTGCCACAGGGTTACTTCCTCGGTTTTTTGACACCATCATTGTAAGACATACCAGCAACTTATCATTAGATTTTTAGGAAACAAGGATTCGCTACCATGTTAGGTGTGCGCATTGCTTATAAACACATCCCAGTGTTTCCACAATACTAAATTATGTGTGCTCAGAAGGAGGAGTGGGTATCTTAAAACTAAGGAAATGTGGTAAGTAGCAAAACAATGCTTTAGCCCACTATTCTAACTCTGAATCACTGTGTATTGGTGACTTAGTTTCTCAGCTACATTATAAAGCCTTGCAAAAGGAGGGCACTTTCCAGTACTTTTTACGATGGCTCTCTAAGGGCTTTACGCAGTGCCTTCCATTGATTGATAAAAGAGTCTGTTTCCTCCAAAAACAAAAATTAAAACAAACACTGATTCTTCATTCTTAAATTTCTGGGTGATTAAAAAAAAACCCTCAGGTAATAAATTCGGAAACTTCTCAGTTTTATCTATTGTTTTTAGGGAGATCTTGTTTGGTGACTGAGGATTGAATCATAAGATTACCTTTCTAAGTTCCTTCTTGCAATATCACTGCTCTGGGGGACTAACAAAGCTTCAAAAGCCTGGAGATCTAAATTATAAAGTTGGATTCAGGATGACGTTTTAAAGAAATGCCAGGATGACATTCTAGTTCAGAGTTTACTAAAAAAATATGTGTTGGCGGGGTGGCGGGGGGATCCCTTAACATGTTTGCATTAATACAAACAACCTATTTTTTGTTTGAGTAGCAATTGTAACACTGTCCAACTTGGGTCCTCTTTCATTTAAAGTTTAGATAGCCTCCATAAAAAACTAAGAATGCAAGAATTAAAGCCAAGAAACCAAGACATAAAAAAGGAAAATCGTCCTCTAGAAGTGTGCAGAAATTAGTTGGCCTCCAATCAAAGTTATTTTTTGTAAGAGGGGGAAAAATTCACTTTTTTATTCTACTCCTGTTTGAAGCAGTTAAAAACAACAACAACAACAACAAAAAAAAATGGTTTTTCCAACTCTGTGAAGTAAAAGGAACCAGATTCAAGTGGCTGAACCTGAGCGTCCCATCGGATTACTATGCAAGGTTTCCCTTTATTTCCCCCCACAGTGGGCAATGCATGTCCATTGTGATTTATCTGGAGCTGGTTTCTTTTACACCCTCAGCTGATATAAAGTCGAGCTAGGACTGAGGCTGGAGATTTAGGGAGCACCTGGGAGGCAGCCTCTACAATCCAGAGAGAATGAAACAGTCGGAAACATGAGCAACGGCATGTGTCACGGACGTTCCCAATGGTAGGAACACCACTTTTTGCCTCTCAGCACAGACAAGGAACTATTAAGAAAGGGGGACAGAATTATGTATCTCCCTTGAAAATTTCCCCCAAGATTATGAGTGCTGCTTTGTTTTCACCCTAGATTTTTAACTTTTCGCTCCTGTTTCTGACCTAGAATGACCCAGGCTCGGGGTCTCTGGCAGGATTGTGAAGATTTGGCCAGCTTGGTTTCAAGGCCAACTGGCAAAGTGCAAGTTGTGAGAAGCGATGGTGATGAGGGCCTTTGTCCTGCTGGCTGTCTTTGTGGAAGCCTCAGCGAGATCTTGCACTCCGAATAAAGCAGGTATGCCCTGGGGCTACCCATCTTTCCCTAAAGGGAAGTTTCCAGGAGACTGTCTTTGCAAAGTTCAGAGCTCTGTGCTTCTCTTGCTATCAAAATGCAGTATCAGTACCCTAACCAGGTAGATGCAGTTAAGCACGCCAGTGCCAACCAGACTTTTCCCATAGGAAATAACAGGGCATTGGAGAAACTTGAGACTTTTAAAATTATAGAATCCTAGATAGATGAATGGATAGATAGATACATAAATAGATATGAAAATATGTATTTTTAACAAATAAACAATATATTACAATAATTTAATAAATACATAATCTATTTCCTTTTTGACTTATTGAATCTATGTCCTGTTCATGAAATGGACATTTAAAAAAAATTTTAAATTATGTGCTCACGTCCATAAGCACAGAAATTTGTATCTATTTCTAAATTTATCTATATTTCTTTTTTTTTAAAGATTTTATTTATTTACTTGATAGACAGAGATCACAAGTAGGCAGAGAGTCAGGCAGAGAGAGAGGAGGAAGCAGGCTACCCGCTGTACAGAGAGCCTGATGAGGGTCAATTCCAGGACCCTGAGACCATGACCTGAGCCGAAGGCAGAGGCTTTAACCCACTGAGCCACCCAGATGCCCCAGAATTTATCTGTATTTCTAATCCGTTCAATCTGGTTTAACAAATATATTCCTTAAAATAGATTAAAGCTGAAAAGTGGACCAGTTTTGAATACATATTAAGTATCGTGCAGATATCACATGATGTAGCAGAAACTAGAAAACTTCAGTGACTGAGGTTTGGGGAAAACGGTCATCACGGTTCATGAAGAATAGCAAGGAAAGTGTTTTTAACCAACTGCTTTGCATGTTCAGGTGTGGCTAGAACCCACTGTCCATCTTTATGAATATTAATATGATTACCATACCTGATTTCAAACCATGTGTATCCTTTTCCTAGATGTCATTCTTGTGTTTTGTTATCCCAAAACCATCATCACCAAAATCCCTGAGTGTCCCTATGGCTGGGAAGTGCATCAGCTGGCCCTCGGGGGGCTGTGTTACAACGGGGTCCATGAAGGGGGTTACTATCAATTTGTGATCCCGGATTTGTCACCTAAAAACAAGTCTTACTGTGGAACCCAGTCCGAGGTAAGTCTAAGCCACACAATGAAGAGTTGTTAGGATCATGCAATTGGGGCCCCAAAATAAGATGTCTGCTGTCTACCCTTAAAAGGATTCAGAATTCACCAATTTCCTTTTAAGAGCCAATCCTGACTCTTATTTCCTGGTATGTTAGTGTTATTTAAATTCTTCTTCTCTGCCTAGTTTAAGTGACTCTTTGGAATCGAATTTTATTCTCCTAATTTGTTGCCTGAGTGAACTAAGCCACCTTTGGTGAGTAGAACAATACACATTTCCCACCTCCACCTTGCTCTGAATTCTGAGTGTGTGCTCACAAACTACCATCCTTCGGGGTTGGATGGTGGGACATCCTCGGCTCAAGACTTTGAAGTAGTTGGAAAGGTACTTTACAGGAGTAACCAAAGTATAATATAATTTATAATTGAGTCTTGTGAAGTACCTGGGACAGATAATCAAAATTAGAAGGAACCAGATGCAACCTCTTGCCAAATATCCTTATAGGTCAGAGGAGATGTTGGAGACCTTCCAATAAAGTCAAAGTTGGGGACCACAGGACCAGTAGGGGTGTAGTCACAAAGGGAGTCTTCTCCACTGCTGACCTCTAGCATTCCTACTACCTTGACTGCAGAAGACGTGGGGTCTCAGAAAATGACAGCAGACAGTACCCAAGGCCACCTCCTCTTCCTAAAGGCCCCATGAGGACTCAGTGATTTAGAGCGTCATGGACGTGATTCACAGAAACATCATGTCTTTGAGTATCCTGGAAGAGTGAACTAGAAATCATCTGCGTGGTCTTAGGCAGGTCTCCTCTCCCATAGATGTTCAAGATCCCTTACAACTCCAATATTCTGTGATCTGGGAGTTCAACAAGCCAGAGGAAAAAGCCACAGAAATAGTGTTCATTATTGGAAGAGGGAAAGAACAAATAATGACATGTTCTAGAAATGGGAGATAGGCAAAGGCAGTCATGTAAGATTATTTGGATGGGGGAAGTGGGTAAAAAGTTGATGCTGGGAAACAGATTCTTTAGCCTGTTCTTTTTGGTTAGAAGCCCAATACAGATCTCTTGTAAGTGTGCAACATTCAACCCAGATTATTTTAAACAATCTTAGTCAAACATACTCAAGAACTCTTCGCAGAAATTCTCAGCTCACCATTGACGTCTCCCCATAGGTCTGACCATCTTTGATCACTTTTCCCAGGACCCTCCTTCTCATCATGGGGTCCAGGGCCTCCCTAACTGCCTTCTTCCTCTCTCCAGTACAAGCCCCCCATCTACCACTTCTATAGCCACATCGTTTCCAATGACAGCACAGTAATTGTAAAGAACCAGCCTGTGAACTACTCCTTCTCCTGCACCTACCACTCCACCTACTTGGTGAACCAGGCTGCCTTTGACCAAAGGTAAGTTGCTCTGAGAGTGGAGGGCTGGCTGCCTTGTGTGTGTTCTGCAGTCCCTGTCAATCAGGCATGTTTCAGTCCTTATGCAAAATTCTCTCCCCTTTTCAGAGTGGCCACTGTTCACGTGAAGAATGGGAGCATGGGCACATTTGAAAGCCAGTTGTCTCTCAACTTCTATACTGTAAGTGGTCTCCAGGATCTCATTAGTGCCCTGTGGTCTTTTCAGGAGATGATGGGAGGCTTCCTTGGGGTTTGCTCTTCCCTAAGCTCTCTGCAGAGCCCCATTCTTGAATTCAAATTAAGACATAAGCTTCGGTCTAGTTTTAAACCTCTTCAAAGACTAGATGCCACAGGAAGGTTGAGTCATAGACTGGGTAGAGGAGCCATAAAAAGGCCACAGAGATATAAAGTGCACATTCCCATCTTATGATACAACTGAGGCAAGGGCAATCCTCTGAGTCATCAGAAGTCAAGAGGCAGTAAGACAGCCAGTGTCTAACTCTTAAACCATCTTAGTGTCCATTACAACCCACTCTGGAGAGTGGTACTAGAATCTAGCTTCTGTTAAAGCATCATTGAAGTTAAAGGCACACTTTGGTCTCTCAAAATAAAACTAAATAAGCCACAGCCATTAGCCCAGCTGCCCTCCTGTCTAGAAGGGGTGTTAGTTTTTTTAAACCTGCAGCTTCCAACGAAGAGGCATACTTACAGTGACACTCCAGCTGGCTAGAGGAAGACGCAGGCAGAAATAGAAACTTTTACAAAGAACATTAGAACTGGGAGACATCCTTAGAAGCCATCATGCCCAACGCATTCATTTCACAAAAGAAAGGACTCTATTACCTGGAACTCCACTGGCCTTGAACTCTTTGAACTTGCTTTACCTGCTCCCTAGAAGCTACCAATCCAGGTGAGCTCAGAAGGTGAGAGATCCTCTAGAAGGAATCCCAGAGTCACCAGGTCCATTTTACAGTCAAGGATCTACAGCACAGAAGGAGGAAATGGTGTGCCCATGACTCCACAGGTAGTGTGGAGCATTGCCCAGTCTAACATACGGATCTCTTAGCCCTGCTCTCTGAGCCTTACTTCCTATGAAGGGGATGGAGCTTGGGTTTCATGATCCCTCTTTTGCACTGGCCCCGTTTAAGGCTCTGTGTTAAATTTCATATTCAAAAATTTTATTCTTTTTTTTTTTAAAAGGACTCTCTAAATTATAGAAGAGTTAAGGTCCCAAAGAACCTAGGTTGGACCCTGACCACACACGGCTAGTGGTTAATTCCAGAGAAAAGGAATCTCTTAGAACTCCTGGGCCTATAATCAGGAGGGTGAATCCAGTGAGGAGCAGCAGGGGGATTAAAAGATGACAACATCATTGCAGTAACTGTTGAAGGTTGTCCAGAGAGAAAAACGGACTCACTCATCAACAACAGTCTCAGGGGACATCACGGCGATGGCCGGTCTTTACTACTGAGCCCCTGTAGAGATATGCATGATTGTTACTTTAACCAGATAAAATCATAGATATGATCCTATGAAGATTTTATGACAGCTGGCAATAGAGAGGCATGAGGGTTCTCAAAAATCATCACCCACCATCTGCCAAGTTGGGCTAGGTTTCAGAAATATATATCAAATCTTAGCGTTGGAAGGAATCTGTTCTTTTTTAAGAAGACAAGCAAACAAAAAGAGGTGTAGCCTCGTCATCTCCCAGATCATCCTCTGGGCTGGATAGACAGAATTACCTGGACACTTTCTTGAGCTGTTCTAGAAATGAGGCTAAGGTGTCCCCTGGGGCCCATCAAGACCCTTATAGGACAAACAGGTCTCAATAAAGAGGGGGTCTGATGTTGCAACAGAAACTTTTGTACTGATTAATATTCCTACCATGGGCTTGGTTTCCTAGGCCTGACCCGCGCGGCTGGTATTTTTCTTCTCCTCCCTTCTTCCGCTCTGAGAGCATTCTTGTGTGTCTCTGAAGCAACAGCTGCCCCCTGCATACATTTCCATCAAATTACCAGAGACAGAGCTGTGCCCTCGATTGGACAAAGGAATCAATGCACAGCTAATTGCTTAGGATTCCAAGAGCTCCAAGTGTTGGGCTCCAAAACCACCAGTTCTACTCAACGTGCTTCCTCTCTTCTCCCTCTACCCCCCCTCCCACTCAGTCCTGCCAACAGCCCATAGTTGATATTCCTGGCGAGAAGTCAGGAATTGACTTTATTTTGGCCCCTAATCCAAAATAAAGGAAGGTAGTCAGCTTGCAGAAGTGGACTAGCAGTGTGCTTAAGAAAATAGTCTGCCGTTGGCCCACTGGTTTAAGGTCTAGTTTTGCCATTTACTAGTTGTTTGATCTTGGGTAAGTTAGTTAACCCCTTTGGGCCTTCATCTATTCATTTGTTAAATAAAAATAATAATAGCACTTATCCCATATGCTTATTATGAGGATTAAATAAAATTATTTTTATGAAGCATTTACCATACTACCTGGTACAAGGTATGTGCCTGCAAAAGTAGCCAAACTCATGGTCACAGCCTTTGGCCCCATATAAAGTGAAAACTCTGAGAGTTCCTGGCACCAGCAGTTACCATTATAGTGTTGTTACCTTTACACCGTCAATGTCAGTGTGGGATTGGGTTGACTTTTATGCAATCAAAATAGTATTGACCATTCTTCTTAGTTAGACAGAGACCCGGGGAAAGACTTGGGATAGAACAAATGCAAGCAATAGAGTCCAAATTCATAGGCTTCCAAAGTCAGAACAATCTTCAGAGGTGATCAACCTTGACCTTCCACCCAATGTCCAAAGCTCTTCTGCAAGATTGCTAAAGAGTGGGCTCCTTTCCCAAGGACAAGGGCAAGTTGACCTTTCCCATTTTCGATCAGCATGTGAAATCTGATATCCGGAACTATAGCCCATTGGTCATTGTTCTGTCTTCTGAAATAATACTGAGTCATGCTGTTGCTGATGGCCCTTCAACTATCTCAAGCTTATCTTCCCCAACATCTCCCCACCACTGGTGCTCCATCATCCTACTCCCTCCTCTCTGGGGACTATCCAGTTGGCCACTGCCCCACTACAAAGCAAAGCCCAGACCTGAAATGTTATATTCTAGACCCTTTCAGACTTCTGCAGGGCACAGTGGGTCAGGGGTGACCTTAGTTCTGAAAGACTCTAGGAACATGTTCCAGAATTATATTAGCTTTGTGCTGCTCTCTTTCATTTCTATCTCACATTGAGCTTATAAGCAACAACAGCTCCCAGATCTTGCCCACATGAACTGCTGTTAAAACAGATGTATTCATCCTAACCGTGTCAATGGACCATTGTGATTCAGTCTTTCCATCAAGTGAAGGGACTAGAAGGCTTGATTTTTCAATGTGTTTTTCCCTCTTGTTCTACAAGTGAGTAGTTTATGTGGTGTTTCTATGTTTCCAGGAATGCCAAAACAAATGATACAGGTATTATAGGATAAAGATATCTGGAAATAGGCCCCTAACCATGTTATAAAGAAAGTAGGAGATCATGCTGAGAAAAGAATTGCCTTAGCTATAAGGTGAGAAGTGGAGAAACTGACCATTAAAAGTGTTTGTTCCAGAAATGAAATTAACAGTACAGATTCTCCTCTCCACTTTGTAACAGAATCACACGAGTTCCTCTGCAAGTAGAGGCATTATTCCAATATTCTACTACCCCATGGGCTGGTTCCTGGGAGATGGGGCTGGGAGAAGCACCTGTGGCTAGGTTGGGGGACTGCACTGTGGTCCCCAGGTTAGGTCCCACATTTGTTAACAGTCTTGGGAAATATGACAAGTCTCAGAAAGTAATCATAAACAGTAACAACCATTGTAAACCTGCCACTTTCACTGTATGGTAAGCTAGTAAATCACTGATGGTTAAGAACATTATTGTTTAATTACTGCAACCATTTAAGGGGTACAGAGGTCGGCCGACAGGAAGAAAAGAACTGACTTCTGAGTGACTGACTTAGGGAGCCCTAGCTGGACCCAAAATCAGGAAAAAATATAAGAACCACTAGAAGGTGATTCTGAGGCCTCTCAGCAAATGCCCTAAATTAGATGGAAAGGGGCTAAAGTCCATTGCAACTAGATATCCTTGCTGACTCTGTTTACTCATTGTAGTTCTACAAATCTCTAAGTCCATGAAACTCAATCTTTTAACTAGCATCCTGGTTTAAGCTTTATGCTTCTATTACATAAAATCACCATCATAAAAACATTTCTGCAAGGTTGGTGAAGGCAAAGATTACTTCCATTTTGCAGATGGGGAAACTGAGGACCAAACGTCTGACTTGCCTGTAAATTGGTGGTGGGAGCTAGGATTAGCCCAGCGATCTTGTCCTTTTGTCATGATGCTGTTGTCTCTGGAGGCTCAACTCAGAGAGTAGTGAAATGTTGTTACTAAAGTTGAGTGAAACTAAGACAATGAATGGAGAAATCAGCCTCCTTGGGTAGGTCCACTGGACATACTACTATATTGTAATAACTTCCCCAGAACTGCCTGATGAAGAGACCAAGTGAAGACTACACACACCATACCAGGGACCAATGGCTGTTGCTCCTGTGTTTCAATCAGGGCCATACTCCCTTGACACTTAGAGAGGTGACCACAGTCTTCTGGATCCATCCCCACAGCCTCTCCCACTTCACTGCCTACCCCCCTCACTTCCTACCTTTCCCCCACCCCCTCTGCTCACTCAAGCTTCAGCATATTGGCCTCCTTGCTGTCCTGCTAGCTACACTGTCACCTGGGGCTTTTGCCTTAGCTGGAACATTCTTCCCCAGATGTCTGCATGCACTACAGGCACTATAGAAGCATTTCTTTGTATCAGTACTTAGCCTGGAAACCCTACACACCCTACAGAAACATTTCTTTGTATCAGTACTTAGCCTGGAAACACAGGCTTCCTTGCTTCCTTCAAGTCTTGGCTCAAATGTCACAACCTTGATGAGAGCTCCTTAACTACAACTGTATTTAAACTTACAGCTTGCCCTCCTTGCACTTCCAATTTACCCTCTCCTCCTCTACATTTGTTAGTTTTTCTTTTCCTTTTTTTTTTAAAGATTTTATTTATTTATTTAACAGAGAGAGAGATCACAAGTAGGCAGAGAGGCAGACAGAGAGAGAGAGAGAGAGAAGCAGGCTCCCCGCTGAGCAAACAGCCTGATGTGGGGCTCGATCCCAGGACCCTGAGATCATGACCTGAGCCGAAGGCAGTGGCTTAACCCACTGAGCCACCCAGGTGCCCCTGTTACAGTTTTTCTATATCATGTACTGTATTCTCTTCCAACATATTGTATAATTCATTTGTCTACTGTCTATTGTCTGCATCCCTTGCTGGAATGTCAGGTGGTTAGAGACAGAGATCTTTGCTTTGTTCCCAGCTATATCTTCAAATACTGGATATCCTGACACAGAGACTTTCCTAATATAGAGAATGGTGCCTGACACACAGTAGGTGATCAGTTAGTTATTGCTGTTGCCTTTGTTGGTAACTGTACTGGAATCAGATCATACACTCTCTGACCCAGGCTGGAATCTGCTCAGACAAACAGTGGAAGTGAGCAAGAGCTAAGCGGGGTTGTCTATGTTTTATCCCTATCCCCATGGGTGATTAAGTAAAGCCCAGTGCTTCAGCATTCTTGGATTCTGCCTTTTTTCCATAAGCCAAATCTTGCTCCTGGCTGGCATAGATGAGACATATAGTATGTGTCTCATTGTGACCAGCAAATCCAGATATGGGATACCCTCATCCCTTCCAAGATGGCAACAGCAATCCTAGGAAGTACAGCTTCCCTAGTCCCTGAGGGTCTCTCTGTGGTCTCGCCCATGCCTCTGCCCTTGGATGTGTCCCCACCACCACCCCATCCCAGACCATCTGCTCCTATCACACCCAGCTACTCAGTCTGAGAGGTTGTAATGTCCATTGTCAATTTCCTCCCAAAGAATGCCAAGTTCTCCACGAAGAAGGAAGCCCCTTTTGTCTTGGAGACATCCGAAATCGGTTCAGATCTGTTTGCGGGAGTAGAAGCCAAAGGGTTGAGTGTCAGGTAAGTATGTTTCCTCCCTGTTTATATTTTTAAAGCCAAAGAAGAGAAAAAAAGATCAGCCAAGAGACTTTTTAACTACCAGATGTTTCTAGGCATACAACTCTCTGGCTCAAGGTGATGCATTTTATTGCATTTCCAGGTTTAAAGTGGTTTTGAACAGCTGTTGGGCGACCCCGTCAGCCGATTTTATGTACCCCCTTCAATGGCAGCTAATCAACAAGGGGTAAGTACCACCCTCCAGAGCACGGTGCTGAGAAGTGGGGTAGATCTGGGGCCCCTTTAGCTTGGGATGGCTTGGGAAGAAGAGGTAAAGCCTCAGGGTCACATCTGTGACACCCTTTGTGCCTCTGGACTGAGCCCTGATACTAGCAGATATTTATAAAGAACTATCTGGTACCAGGTACTCTTCTGAGAGCTTCACCATATATTAACTCTTTTGCCTTACAAGAGGCAGCCATTATGACTACCCTCCCTATTTTCGAGGTGAGGAAACTGAGGCACAGGAGGGGTTAAGTAATGTCACTTACTTAGTGTGTGTATTTGTGGGGAAGTGAGTTCAAACCCAATTAATCTGACACCAGAACCCTGGTTAAGACCTAAATCAGACAGTCTGTATAAAAAGTTAAGCATGTAGTACCTAGTCAGTATCCAGTCATCTTAATTAACATCACTGTTTTTTGTTACTGATTCAGTAGATAATGGGATAATGGGGAGTTCTTAAAATTTTTGAGTAGAGGACAAAAGTATTGGGATTCTACAATAGAAAGACAATTCTGGAAGTCATCAATGGCATGGATTAGAAGCAGTATGTGGTGGGTGGAAAGACCAGATTAGAGGCCATGGCCTGAACGGAGGTGTAGCCAAGTGAATGGGAAGGTCATCCAGGAGGGAGAGGTGATCAAAATTTAGCAACCAATCAGATATGGGGTGGAGAGAAGGACAGGGCAAGAAGCCTGAGACATATGTGCCATCACAGTTATGGGTTGTAGAGGTGAGGAACTGTTTGGTGTTGGGCATTAGGGAAGAAGATTCTGGATAAGGGTTTTGGAGTCTCCTTGAGTTCCAGGATGACATGTTGAGCTTGAGAGGACAGTTTTCTGGAAAACACCTAGAATTGTACTTTTGGAAAAGAGAGGACAGGTTGAGCTAGATTAGAGATGTGGGCATCAGACACACAATGAACAGTAAATGCAAAAGAGACCATTCCCCAAACCCAAATGGACCGGTGTGCCCGTGCTGCCACCAGAAGCCTTCAGAGCTAAGTAAACATTGGGGCTGGGGACAAAAATCATTAGATAACAAAGGCAGAGTTACCTTGGACCTTTAACTATTTATTTTTACTTAACAAACACTTAACAGCACTTACAACATACCAGCGTGTTCTAGGTCAGTGCCTTACAAACACTAATTTTATAGTAGAAATCTGAGGTGTAAACAGGCTCAGAAACTTGCCCAAAGTCTAGAGCTAGTCAGGGGATGGACGATTTGGGACTCAACTCAGGCAGCATTATTTCCTGAGAGATGTCGGTAGGACAGGCCAGCAGAACCACATCTAAGTAACCCAGCAAAGCTTCCTGCAGAGATGGTAGCTTCATTTGGACATCATACCTATCACAGAAGGATTCCTTTAGGTTCTCTTGACAATGGTGCAATCAAATGACTTCAGGGAGATTGTGAAATAAATTCGTGACCTATAGGGACCTGAAATTATGATCAGGAGCTGGGAAGCTCTCAGACAATGGCTATGCAGGACAAAGGCTCTGCCATACCATGGAAACCTCTCCCTGCAAATTGCTCTGGTACTGCTGCTTCCAACTGGCAGATGTGTAAGATGGCAGACAAAGGAACGCTTGTGGCTTTGTGGTGGTCTAGTAACCACCACAGACTCTAGTGCATATAGGAATTTCCTAGGGTATCTGTTACACATGCAGGCACACAGCTGACCTACCCCATCAAAGGGTTCCTGGGCAAACCCTGAGAACCTATGTTGAAGCAGAGCCAAATTAAATAAGTCCTCATCTAGTTTCATATTCTGCCTAGCTAAAATGGCCCCTTGAGGTTGGAGATACTTGCACAAAAAACCAGTGAAAAGAGAGGAATGAGAAAGTCCACTCCCTTAATCTCCCAGATGCTTTGGGTTCACACTGGGCCCTTTTGGAGGAAAATCCAGTTTCCAAGAGCATACAGAGGGGTTAGAAGAGATGTATTATTAGGAATTTTGATCTTAAGTCAGGAAGAAGGCTCCTGTGGTGATGTTGTAAGAGTCTCCCTTGGGCATTCCACCATCCCAAGTTGTCTGTCACAGAGGGGCAAGTGCCACAGCCAGTGCCAAGAGGAAGCAGAGCCAAGACATCTAATAAGCCCGCCCAGGACTTGCCTCCTCCCGCCCCCAACAAAGCTCTGTTTACATTGTTTTCCATTGGCTGACGCCATGCCTTGGACACTCCAGCTACAAGGAGCTATTTTAAGGACTCAGGTCCTGAGTTCATACAAGGCTCTCAGGTTTATTCACCAAATGAGCCTCCAAGGTCTTGTTTCACAACTCGGAAAATGCCTCCAGCTCTGTCATTGCTTAGAGGTCACCACAACCATAGCCAGGCTTCTGACCTTTGGTCCAGAATAAGGTATACCGTTCACTTCTCATTTTGTTACTAACTCATGGAGTTGACATTCCTTCAGTCCTACCTCTAACTTGCCCCCTGATGTCTGGTTCTGATGGATGTGTGGAGGAGGGCACGTGTCAAGGGCTCTCAGATAGCGGGGGTGGCTCTCTGGTGTGTGTATACTGGGTTGGATTGACAATGGAGTCAGAGAGACATTCTGGGAGGAGCATTAATTTTGGGGTCCTCTGTGGTGCTGTCCCCTGGTCTCAAGCTTTTGGACCCATAGACCTTCTTCCACAAAGGACAGAATCTGCTGATCCTTGCCACCTGCAGACAACACTCCCCAAAGTGCACGTGGGCCTTGCTGTACATTTGTGTCTGCTCCCAACACCTTGCTGAATGTCTGCCACTTCGGTAGGGAATGAGCGTGTGTTTGGTAAATGAAAAACATTATTTTCATCGTAAGTTATTACCTTTGGGACTTTGGGATTTTCCAAATGCTACATTCTCATAGAGAATTTGGAAAATATATAAAGATTTAAGAAGAAAGCAGAAACCGTCCATAATTCCACCACTCCATAGTAGCCAGTATTAACATTTAGATGGTATCCCTCCAGTCATTTTTTTTCTGTGCCTATATTAAAAACATGACCACATTTTTACAAAGGTAAGTATACAATATAGAATTTAAATAGCACAACATAAATTCAGATTTCCCAGCGGCAAGCCCTCACAATACACACAGAGAAGGGAGGAAGGTATGACTTGGCTCGGGTGGCTATGGTAGCACTCTGGGAAGTGCTGTTCTCAGCACCAGTGTCTTTATCTTGTAGGTATACTGGGAGTCAGTCCCTGTCCCAGTCCTTCAGATGACTTCATCTCTCAGGAATTTCCCTTCTTTGAGATAGAGGTGTGGTGACTTACCTGGTGTGCCAGCTTCTCCTAAGTCTCCCCCCTCCACCCCACTGTCCCCTGTCTATAGAATGAGAACCAGCACACCGCCCCATAGCTCCTCAACTTGACCTCATATCCTGAAGATAAGCGAGGCGCTGCCAGTCAAAGTGCTTTGTAAGGATAACGTGCTGTATAGAAGCCCAGGGCCGTGTTGCTGTTGTCTGCCAATCTACCTCAGATTTTGCTAGAGTTCACAAAGTAATTTTCCCTCCTCCCTGCCGCATCTGCTCCAGCTGCCCCACGGATGAAACTGTCCTCGTACACGAGAATGGGAAAGATCACAGGGCCACCTTCCAATTCAACGCTTTCCGGTTCCAGAACATCCCCAAACTCTCCAAGGTTTGGTTACACTGTGAGACATTCATCTGTGACAGTGAGAAGCTTTCCTGCCCAGTGGTGAGCCTCCTCTCTCCAGAATGAGAATGTGACCCGAGGTGGGGGTGGGGGGTGGTATTTGAGAAGATGTATTTTTAGCTTGGAATCGTAACCAGACCGGTGTACATGTGTGCTGAGGGCATTCTGGAAGAAAGGTCACTGGGTGTAGGGGCAGACATTCGGGCTCTGTCCGTCCTGCCACCAACAAGCTACATGGTCTGGCACATGCCACTTACTCTCTGGAGCCCGGTTTCCTCATCTCTAAAGACAGTGGTGATGTGATAAGTCACTGTGGCCCTTCTCTTTTCAGAGAGCCGTATTAGGTAAAATGAGAACAGTAACAGGCATGGAAATGCTTTGAAAAAAGTTAAAAGCACAAGGAAAATTCAAAATGTTGGTAGTAGCAATAGGTACTGGTTGGAGTCAAAAGATGGATACTTTTAGCTCTTGCCCGGCCAGCTTCCACAGAAATTCCTAACAGCCGTTACTGCTGAACTGACTTTGTGAGAGGAAGCGCTGGGCGGCGGGGCCCCAGGTTCACAGCCAAGTTCAGTGCAGCCCAGGCCAGGGGCCAGTTTCCCCTCTGCACCCCCCAAACCGAGAAGCTGCTACAGAATCCATCCATGGACATGCAGAGCGAGTCCCACTGGGAGACAGGTTTCCACGACAGCCAGGAGTGAACCTGGTCCTTAGGACAGTGGTGCCACAGCGTGGTCCCCAACAGCTTCAGCACCACCTGGAAACTTGTTAGGGACGCAAATTCTCAGGCTCCCCAGACCACCTGATTCAGAAATGCTGGGTGGGCCCAGAAATCTGTGCTGTAACAGCCCCTCCAGGTGATTCTGAGGCATGCTCGGGCCCGAGAACCACTGCCTTCACCAAACAGTGATAAATCACGAATGGCTGTCTGCTCCGATCTGTCCAGGTTAGAGACCCCAGAGAGCAGGAACGCAGCGTTTCTCAAGAGGACACCTGCTCACGTAGCCTGTGGTAACCAACCGAAAAAAGAGAAAAAGATTATAATCTCTATTTCTACTCATTTGTTTTAGCCAGGAAATGGTCACACAGAAGCACGTAAAAAATGGGGAGGGAGCAGACAGATATCTTATAGGTGATGAAGGGATAATTAGCGGCCCTACATTTTAAAGAGAAAAGAAAATGAGCCAGAGCACACTTCTCAAGTGTCCACTTCTCAAACCACTGTCAGGAGACTAACAGCAGGCAAAAGCCTCACTTCTTATCAGAAGAAACCAGGCCAATCCCTCCCATATCCAACAACCCCCACCCCGCCGCCCCCGGGATTTCTTCCAGTTTAAAGAGTTCCTAGAGTAAAGCTTTGTCCTTCTCCCAAGTTAGAGAAGGGATGAAAACAGCACTCTGGATAGTACACAAATAGACAGACAAATAAGGTAACCAAGATCTGTTGATTGGGGAATTTTGACTCTATCAAGTTTGCGACTTCTTTTTTTAATCTCTCGCCTTTCTCTCTTTTCTCTCCTGTGTGCATTTCTCATGCCCCCTCCCCCACTCTTCCCCCATCCCCGCCCCTCCCCCACGGCTGGGGTTCTTCAGACCTGTGACAAGAGGAAGCGCCTCCTCCGGGACCAGACAGGGGGCGTCCTGGTGGTGGAGCTCTCCCTCCGTAGTAAGCTTCTCTGTTTTCCGAAAGCCCGAGTTCCTGCGGGGCTGCGTTTACAGGCACAGCAGGTCGGAGCATTTTAACTCAATTGCCAAACCAGTTGTGCTTGTAGACACTACCTTCACCTGCGACTCAAGGTTTCCCACCTGATGGGGAGGGGGAGGGCGAGGGGGAAGCCATAGCTCAGGCCAAACCAAGAAGTTGAGGTTTGTTAACTACCCTGAAACTCTGTCTGCAGCCTAAATTCCAGTGCCCCCAAGGAATTAGGAAGTGCTGAACTTCCGGGCAGAGCAGGCAGCCAACTGTAATAGCGGACAACAAAATGTACTGGGTAGGTCCAGTGCGAGTCAGCAAAACTCCATAGAGCACCCAGTGCTAGCCCTGGGCTGGGCTGGACCCTGGGCTTCAGAATTAGAGGAGACCATATGGTCCTTGTCTTCAAGAACTCATCACCTAGCAAGGAGACAGCTGCTAAATGCCAAGGGCAAGGGAGGGGACCATCAGTGGGTGTGCAGGAGGTAGGGCGCTTCGGGAGTTCACCCCAGTCCAGGGCCTAGGGAAGACTCGCGCGTCGGTAATCTTGCTGTGTGACCTGAAGAGTGGTATGGCATGAAGGGTGAGCAGAGCCTGTGGGAAGAAGGCTGGGGCCTTTAGTAGCTACACAATTTTTACTAGCTAAGAACAATTTTTACCTTCTTACGTGGTTGAAAAAAAATCGAAAGAATCATAGTTCATATTTTATGGTATATCATAAAAATGATATGAAATCAAATTTCAGTTTTCTATAAAGTTTTATTGGAACACAGTCACGCGTGTTCATACAAGGTGCTGTCTCCAGATGCTTTCACCCTATGGAGACAGTGTCAAGTAGTTCCAATAGGGACCAAGTAGTTCCATAGGACCCATAGCGGAAATACTTATTATCTGGCCCCTTCCAGAAAGTTTACGAACCCCCGCCTTAGAAAGCCAAGGAGAAAATGGTTTTCTTCTTCTTTCAAAGAAGCTTTGGTGAACCCCACTATAAACTTTGTCTTAAAGGCAATGAGGGGCTATTGGTTTAATCGGGAGAGCACGTGGTCAGGTCTGTATTTTGGAAACACAGATCTGAGGCTCCTTCCTTGATCTTTCCTTAAACCTTCAGCTTTCTCTCTCTTTACTCATTACAGGCAGGGGATCCTCCCATCTCTATAGCTTCTCAGGTAAGGAAAAGAGGCACCTCCGGGAAGGGTCATGGGGCAATGCCTTTAAAAGGTAGATGTGTGTTTTAAAAGAAGCTTAGCTTTGGCCCCAGCAAAACCTTGAGGAATTGAAAGCTGCTCTTTAAAACACGCCTGAGTGGGACAGAAGGCGGTAGAGGTAGACTGATGTCTCTCCAGCCAGCCCCTGAGCTCTACAGGAAGAGTGCATCTGGAGACAGATTGGACGAAGCAGAATTGGGTCCCACCTCTCTGCAAAAAACATCACCAGGGGGCTTTGCTTGGGTTCCTGCATTTAGAGAATGTGATTTTCAATGATACATTTTTTTCAACAAATATCTCTGAGTCCTTGCTATGACTCTGCCCCTCATTCACTAAATGACCTTGGGCAATGAACTTACCCTTTCACTCCCCAGTCTCCTCTAAGAAATTGGGTGAATAATGGCTCCTATCATACATGGCTGCTCTATGGATTAAATGTTACAACCAAGGGCACCAAAGAATGCCCTGCATAGAGCAAATATCAGTAAGATGAGCCATCATTACTCTTCTAGGCACTGGAGCTCCTACAGAGGGAGATAGTCAAGGCCTCTGCCCTTCCCTGTAGTGTTGGAGTAGGGGTAGAGGAATGATTTAGATAGTGGCCAGGGAAGCCTCTCAGAAGAAGAAACATTTCAGCTAAGACCCAAGACCTTACCGAGTGATGAGGAGGACAAACTATGGGAGGAGATGGGGTAAGACAGTTCTATTGATTAATAAACTCACAGATGTAGACTTTGCTCTCACAGTTACAGGAAATATATAAACCAACTTTTTAAGACTCTAATCCCAGATCTTCATTTCTAAAGAAGTCCCATAGCAAAGCCCTAAGGTAAAACGTGCCATCACTGTGTTGCCCATGTTCCGACGAGGAAGAGGGCAAGGAACTGACAAAACCAAGGGGCAGAAACCCCAAAAGATAAATGGATTTTATATAAAATGTGCAAAGTTTTATGAAAACCCACTGAATGCTTCTGGTTGACTCTTTTGTCGAGTTAACCTTTTGTTGCCTTGTCGTTGCTCCACGTCAAATGTTTCTATCTGCTCTCCTATCTAATTCACAGATGTCCTCTATCACCTCATCGTCATGCTGGGGATTTGTGTCGTGTTGTAGGAAATCGCCAGGCAGCCAGCAGCATCTCCTCCACCCAACATCACCTCCTGTGTCTGTGACAAACTTTTATCATGCTGCCAGCAAGAACCAACAGAAGAGCATACTGTTGGGAAGCAGAGAATAGTGCTTTGCCAATTACGTGTTCCAGTGATTTTTGTGAATTTCAATGATTGCCTCTGGTGCCCCACTTCCTCCTGGGACTTCCTGTGGCTCTGAGATCCTGCAGTTCCTCTCCTGCAGCTGGCGGAGGAGTCTCCTTTCCCCCAAGCTCAAGGCAGGGCTGCAGTGGACTCCTTTGAAAGCGATTCTAATTTTAAAAGACTAGCACACCCAACCAAGTGCAGCTGAGCATTGAGGAGAATGTAGGGCATAACCGCAAAGTCAGTGCTAAGTACAGAATGAACAGGAATAGCCAACTTTGCCAAGGGGGGCCTTTGTCATTGATGCCCTGAGATGCTTATTTAAGAACCAGGGCTGAGCCACCAGGCAAGGGTTCCGATCTTTCAAATGATAATGCAGGAATCAGACTGGAATTTAATACTCAAACCTGAGTGTTAGAAAGGAAAACAATTTTTGAGAGGCCACCAGGGCTAACCCAATTTGTTTTTAGTATAGTGTTTCTTAAATAAGTATAAACATTATATAGATATTAACTTGTTTTTATAGCTGATATAGATTTCAAAAATCAAAAGAAAATGAACGATTAAATAGGACTAAGAAGAATAAAACCCACATTAACAGAAATTTGACATCATGATGTGGCATTGCCTAAATGAAACCACTGCTGGCACATGACGCTGGAGTGACATCTGTGACAGGTCCTCTGAAATTTGTCAACCCAATCCTACTCTACATCTTGTGATGCTCAATGGTCTCGCAATTTTTTTTTTCTATTTGATCTAAGAAATCTTCATCTGTGTGGAATGGTCTGACCTCATTTAGTCTTTAACAGTCAAGCATGTAGCTATCTGGTTTTGCCTCCTTGACTTATGATCATTAGAATGGAACCTACCAAAAAAATCAGAAACACGACTGCAAAAATGGTCAGTGGCATTGCATGGCACCACACCCTGAGGCCAGCCCCAGCCCAGGGATTAAGAATTCATGGAAGTTAATGATTTACAGGGCCAACAAAATAAAAACTGATGAGCCAACCCTCAGAGACCCCTGGGCAAGTCCCAAGAATGCACTGTCAACACCAGAAGCTAGAATGGGACAGGAAAAGCCAGAGCTCTCACTTTTTTTCTTAGTCCTGTACAGACTTAATTAGTGGGCTTTTACTTTGAAAACCCATCAGTGTGTCTCTCTGTGGCTAATGTATTTGAGAAGTTTTGAGATGTGTAGTTGGGCGGGTCTTTTAGAACTGTGCTGAGGAACTCAGAAATCCAGCTAGTTCCCAAATTTCTGGAAACATGGAGTACACGTTTGTTTAGCAACAGACTAGATTCAAATGACTCAGCGGCATCTAAACTGTTCTCAAAGCTGGAGCTCCAGCCGGTTTGGGATTTCTTCTTCTTATAAATTCAGAATTTTTATAAAAAGGAAGGACAAGACATTTTATTGGTTCTAGTCAAAAACTCTTAAATTGCCTATTTAGAGTGATTATCAAATCTTTGGCCGTCAGAGTAAAACAATGTTGTATTAGTTTTGCTTTATTTTATCATATTGTTTAATGATCTCGTACCTCCAATTGGTGCTTTAGGATAAATAAAATACCTTAAAATAGATAACCTGTGATTACAGTTTACGGTGCTGCTCTATCATATTAATAGCCAATTCCTCTACCCTCCCACGGGTTCCTACAGCTAGAACTTCTTCGACTCACACACATACCACAGACCTTCCATTGTTCTACACGATATTTACTTTCCAAAACTTCCAGCATTTGCTTTCCAACACAAGGAGACAATTCCATCTGTATGATCTCCCCATCTCTAACACCCTAACACCAGCCACCAGCAATCAAATGTGTTTCAACCTCAGGTGAGCTAAAGCCCCTTCATGTCTTCTAATTTCTCTATCAAGGAATTAAGAGAAAACACTCAAAATAATCTCTGTTATAACTTCTCATGAGTCTTAAACATAAAACATGTTTGGAGAACAAGGAAAGAGTAGATAAGTCCCTTAGGTATCCTTGGCTGACATAGAAAAAACACCAGACATAGATTTTAGGAAGTTAATCTTATCAAATTCCTGCTTATGATCCTTAAAGACTCCCTCTCTTAAAACTTGAGTACTATAAAGAAAAAAAATATATACAGACATGCATGTATCCTGAGTATACATACCCATCTAAGTCTCTACCTATTGATCTATCAATCAATAGATATGTATTTAGATACAGAGATTTCTCTGTGTGTATATGCAGGTAGATAGATATACGTGTATATATGTACACATGTGAATGGACGTGTATGCACACATGTGGGTATGTTTTATGTGTTTGTGTGTGTATGGATGCCAAATGTTTATTATGTCCAATGAAGAAGGCAGAGGTAACAAAGTCTTTATTACCTAACTTCTATAAGCATGTGAGCTAGAGTTGAAAGGAAACAAACACACACACTCCATACTGATACAAAGATGGGATGATAATAGACAATCACTATATCCCATCCTGTCCCTACATCAGTGTACCATTGTCTAATGCCTTTTAGATGCAACAACGTTGGGCTGCTTTGTTACCTCTGCACTTTCGTGCACACGAATATATTATAATATATTGCAGTACTACTGGTATGCTACTTCTCTTCAACTAATCTGAGAGCTAAACATCAAGGAACGTTTCATATTCTCATTTCCGTGGTGTGGTACCTGGCACAGTGTAAGTGCTCAGTAAATGCTCTTTGAATTAATGAACTGTCATATGGATGGATGGGTGGATGGATGGATCGATGGATGGATGGTTGGATGGATGGATGGATGGATGGTTAGGGTATGGCATATCTCTCTGGATGGATAGGGTATGGCCTATCTCTCTGAAAGGCCTCAGAGCAGAGGTTGTTCTGTTCCCTTCCATGGGAGAACAAAGTGTTTGGAATTCAGGCACTCTACTCCCAAACAAGGGAAGAAGTTCTGAAGTATAAGAAGGTAAGTGTTGTCCCGTTGTCTCCATGCTGAGGTGGCAGCAGAAGCGCCCGTCCCTCTCAGGTAAATGCCTCCTTTTGACTAACGCTGTCAAGCCTTGGTGCTAAAGGCCTATGGAGAAGAGCAGAGAACTACCACAATAAAAATGGAATCATGTCAACAGAAAATGGAGTCTGTGAAAGTCCTTGAGTTGAGTTGCCCACGTCTGGGCAGAACAATACTGCTGCGAAAGGAAACATGCAGTAGCTCCGCGGAGACGGGGCTGTCCATAAAGCGCACCCCTCGGCCCCCTATTTAGTGGCCCTCTTCCTGAAGAAAGGCAAGAATTCCACCAAACCTTCCGTAAGATTTGATATTAAAGGTTCTCAACTCAACAAAATTATTTTCCTCTACAGAGTTCAAAAATATCTCTACAAAGGCGGGTCACAGGTCAAGTAAAAAAAAAAGAAAACGTCCTTGATCTCATTGGCTTTCACTCCTTCAGTCTTGGGAAGTTCACCAGGAAAGGGTCTCAAACACCATACATCGTCCAAGCTGCTCTCCCATATTCAGGAGCCGCCATGAGGAAGATAATCGGGATGTAAGGAGCCGCAAGGGATTAAAAAAAAAAGAAATAGTGCAAAGTGCATTAGTGGTTTAGTGGTTTAGTCAGTCTGCTACAAGAACCACTGACAGACATGTCAGCACCCTATTCTCTGTGTGAAGGGGGAGATGTTCATAGCAGAATGGATGGGTTCCTCTTCATCTGCTGGAGGTTGGAAAAAATTAAGTACTTCATATATCAATGAAATGTTCCACTTAAACTTGACTGAAAGCAAAGCCTACCTTTGTTCCTCTGCTTTGGATAGGAAAGAAATTAAGCAATAAATCGAGAGTGGGACATTTCTGTTTGGCAACTGCAGTGCTCACAGGAAGTCAGAGCTCAGGACCAGGCCTTCCAGAGACGGGCTGCCCCAACCTGTCTACCTGATCAGGAACGGCCTGATCCTGTTGGACCGCTTGACTGCTCACACCTTCCATAGCGCTTTATCCCCGGAAAACATTCCTGAGATGCCTTCTGATAACTAAAGGTTAGGGAGCAGGACCTGGTAAAGGCCATGGGGCGAGGGGGGGGGGGCAGCAGCCCCCGCAGCCCCAGTTTTTGTTCTCCAGCTTTTCTCTCTTCCAGAATGAAATTGGATTCACCGCAAATTCACAAGCTAATGGGCCGGAAATATCTGGCAGCTAGGGCAAGTTCACTGGCAGGTCTGGGAGCAACAGCCCAGCCCTGGTCCCCCAGAAATGAGTTCACCCTATTTGTTCATCCCAACCACACAGAGCTCTGGGGCAGGAAGAGGAGGCCCGCTAGATAGCTCCCCCTACTGGTAGATTAACTCAATACCCCAGATCTACATCCCCTGAATGGGGTATTTAACGTGTCTAACCCAACCGTCCTCAGACTTTCATGGGACCCCACAAGCACCTTTAAAGAAAACACCTCAGAAGCTCTCCAGGACTTTAGCTTTTTCCTCAGTAAATTCGGGGATTGGAAGAGTGATTCAACCAGAAAGTTGTTTGTTCTCCTTTGCCCTGTGGGAGGCAAAGGAAAGTCACAGAGGAGGAAAGGCTGCCCGTGAAGGGAGTGCACCCTCTGAACAGACAACTCGGTCTCCCTTGCTTGTTGACTGAAAATGCTCTTCTTAGCCAAGGTGCAAGTAGGCAGGAGAAGCCTCAGGGAAGGAAAGGCCTCATTACAGATGAAATGTTGATTTCCTTGGGCTTTGCTGATAAGCTTCAAAGACTAGTTAGCCATGGCCTCGGGGGTGAGGGCCCATCAAGGCTGAATTTCACTAAAAGGAAATCTTTCAAAAATAATAATAAAATCTATGAGCTCTTCTGATCAGTAGGGCACCCAGTGAAGCACCTCATACACATGTTCACATTTAATCCCCACATCTACCCTTTGAAGGTAATATTATCACCATTCCCATTTTACTAGTGAAAAAAAACAGGCCCCCAAATCAGACAGCCAGTAAAATTCAAAGCTAGGTCT